TTTAGACATTTTTCAAGCTAGCTAAAATACTGCTTTAAAGAAATATATTTGCAGCCCTTTCCTCTAAACTAATTCATCTAACAATCAAATAACTTTCTCAATTTTAAGTTTTTGTAAAGTTCAACATACTTTTTGTTCATTTTTAAACGTTCTTCCAAATTTAAAATCTTTGATTTCTTCAAAGACACACTTAAATTGTGAAAAATACAAAAGTTCAAATTTGAAGCATATTAAAATTTGTCATTGCTTTATTCACATTTTTCTCTTAATAATTTTTTTTTGTAATTTAAAATGTTAAAAATTTTTTAATGTAATTTTTTGTGTCTTTTTCTCGGCGTGTATTTAAGTAAAACTTTTGTTCATTTGGTAAATTAAACATTAGAGAAAATTGGATTAAATGTTTTTGGCTCACACAACTGTTTTTGCTCCACATTTTTATTTTGACGTATAAATAGTAAAATGCACCAATTCCAAGCATATGGATTAATGATTTTAAACATAGTATACACACATATAATGACCTGTATTAGTCAGCTTTTCATCACTGTGAACAAAATACTGATAAGAACAACTTAGTGGGGAAAGATTTATTTTGGCTTAGCGTTTCAGAGATTCAGTCTATGTCATCGGGCTCCACGGTAGAATCATCTTGGTGGAAGGGTGGAGTTGAGGAAAGCTACTCAGCTTATTGCACCTGGGGAAAACAGAAAGCAAGAGGAAAGTGCCAGAGAGAACCCAGACCTTTCCAGGAAAACCTCTATCCCTTGTGACCCACTTAATACAAGTAATCCATTCAGCCATCAGTGGATTAATCTACTGATGAGATCAGAGCCATCATGATTTATCACTTTCCAAAAAGTCTACCTCTGAGCACATGAGACTTTGCACAACATTTCATATCCAAAACATAATACCTCCACTCAGATTAAAGATATTAACACTACTATTACCCAGATGGTTCTCTTTTGCGTCTTGCCTTTTCAAGAGGAAACCACTTTGTAATGTTTTAATTGACTCATTTTTGCTGATTCTTGAGCTTTGTATAAATAGGGCCTTATAGTATCTATTCTTTTGTGTTTAGCTTCTTTCATGCAACATATTTTTGAATTTTGTGTGGTTGCAGACATCCGTAGCTGATCCTTTTTTATTGTTGAATAGAGTTTTATGGAAGAGATCACCATTTGTTTATCCATTTTCCTGTTGATGAACATTTGGGTTGTTTCTAATTTGTTCCTACTATGGCTTTTTTGTAATATATATATTTTAATTGTCAATAGACCTTTATTTATTTATATGTGGTGCTGAGAATTCAACCCAGTGCCTCACACATGCTAGGGAAGTGCTACCCCTGAGCCAGAATCCCAGCCCCTCTACCATGGCTTTTTAATGGTGAATCCTAGACTAGAAAGACATTAATGAAGTTATATAGCCAGAGCAGGATAAAAAAGTATCCCAAAAAAGAACATAAATTTAATATTTTAATATTTTATTCTGTGTTATTTAAAAATGTCA